GTGCGTGTGGGTTCAGTCCCAGCCAGGAGTGTGCATGTCAGGGTGGTTGAAGGGAGACCTTGCAAAAGACAAAAGAGCCACTCTACAGGGGCAAACTCCGCACAGCGAAATTACAAAGGTCAAAGGTTATGGGGTCAGTGCTTTTCCCCATAGTTCTCTTTAGGGTCACAGGAGGACATATACTAGTGTCCTCACGTGACCCAAAACTCAGTATATCGCGAACTACAGCTTGCGGTATACTTAGACCACCGCAGCCAGGACAGATCCCGACATTACTGTCGAGATCCACCCAGCTGCATGAATTTATTATTTATTACAGGTATTTATATAGCGCCAACAATTTACACAGCACTTTACATAGTTGCACATTCACTTCAGTCTCTACCCTCAAGGAGCTTACAATCTAAGGTCCCTATCTCACATGCATACATAAAGAGCCAATTTAGACAGGAGCCAAATAACCTACCAGCATGTCTTTGGAGTGTGGGAAGAAAACCTGAGTACCCGGAGGAAGCCCACACAAGCACAGGGAAAACATGCAAACTCCTTGCAGATAGTGACCTGGCCGTGATTTGAACCAGGGACCCCCAGTGCTGTAAGGCAGAAGAGCTAACTGCTATGCCACTGTGAACGACAGCTGGCTCTGCCTAACTAGAGGGGGAATCCCTGCAGGGAGCCGCGAGTGACAGTCACAGCTCTCTGCAGTGAGATGATCGAGAAGTGAGCGAGCGACGTTATGTGTTCCCGATCTATTGAGCCGACCTTTGACAGTTTCATTGTCATTCGTCGGCTCGAACTATGAGGTTGAGTGAAAATAACTGACCTCATAGTTCTCCATTAACTATTCAGCAACAACTGCCAAAAAAAAAGGAGGGCAGGAAAAAACATGATGTAAGATATGCAGCTACATTTATTCTTTAGTTTTTTTGCATTTGATAAATGACACTTTTAAAGCCCCATTTCTCTATTTTGTTTTTGTATTCTGTATACCTAGGGGTGTGGTGTCCTTGTTCGTGTGTTGTCCTTGTTCGTGTGGTGATTCGCAATTTTGTGTACAATTCTTTTGTTTTTTGATGGAGGGTTTAATAACACTTTAAGGCCTCATTCACTCAGCTAAGTGCCGGCCCGTACGCTCACTTGGACGTATTGGGCTGTTTCTGGGAGGGACAGGTGCTGCGTGTGATTGTACGCAGCCTGTCCTTCTCTATGGGAGTACACGGCCGTACGCCGCCGTACGCTCACTTGAACTGCACATCCGTGCGGGTGCGGTGTCCGTGCTCGGACGCAGACTGGATCCATCCTGTCAGCGTACGAGCACGGGCTCCCGCACCCGCACGGACGTGCAGCTCGGGTGATCGTACAGCCGTGTACTCCCATAGAGAAGAACAGGCTACTATGTACAATCACACGCAGCACCTGTCCTTCCCGGGAACAGCCCGATACGGCCGTGTACGCCGCACGGATCTGTACGGGCCGGCTCTTATATGAATGAGGCCTAAATGATATTTTAGTGATCGGGTGTACTTATACTTTAATAGCTGATTACTTTCTGTGGGCATCATTCTACTTTTCCTTCTCAGTAGTGTGTAAACATTAGCCATGGACTTGTTTCCCATTATCTTGGAATGTTATCAGCTGCTGGTAGGACCTCTTCAAAACTTTTTGTTTGCATTCCTTTTGTTGCATTGCTTGATAGCTTGCATGACTATTTTGAGATACCACAAACTGTAGAACACTGCGGAATATGTTGGTGCTATATGTTGAAATAAATTATACTTGCTTTGGCCCCAGGAAGCACAGTGGCTTAGTGGTTAGCACTTCTGCTTTACAGGACTGGGGGTCCCTGGTTTGAATTCTGGTTTGGACACTATCTGCAAGGAGTTTGTGTGTGCTTGCATGGGTGTACCAAAGACATGCTGAAAGGTCAATTGGCTCCTGTCTAAATTATCCCTACTACGTGTGTGCAATATAGACCAAAAGGTGCCCATACACTGCACGATAATCGTATGCGATCGGTTTTTCGTACGATAATCGAGCAGTGTGAACGGAGACGTGCGACCGTTTCTACTGTACGGTCGCACGTCTTCTGTCGAACCAGCATGTTCGAAAACCAGCCGGGAATCGTACGATTCTCGGCTGGTTAGAACGGTGCTCGGAAGACAAATGCCGAACGGGCCGGTGTGCGCACGCGCACACTGCCCGTTCAGCATTGCGGTCATCGGAAGCCCGCCCCTCAGGCGGGCGGGCTTGCGATGATCGAGAGTGCGATCTGCCTGTCCAAGATAGGCAGATCGTACGTTTTTTTAATCCCTGTACAACCATCGCAAGACTAAAGTCTTGCGATGGTTGTAGAGTGTATGGCCACCTTTAGATTGTGAGCTTCTTGAGGACAGGAACCGATGTCAATGTGCGCTGTGTAAAATTGTTGGTGATAGCTGTAATAAATAAGAGTGTGTATGAAGTATAAAACAAATAAAAAAACTTGTCAATTAAATGGAAAGTTTAATTCAATGAAAGTGGAAAAACTCAGTTATGGTAATTAAAATGCTTAGTGGAAATTTGTTTAAAAAAAATCTACTCTTGTTTTCTTTATTTATTTAGTGTGGGATTTTTTTTGGGGGGGAGGTATTATGGGCGTCATTCATAAAACTTCCGCCCAGTGTATAGCTGGATGGATGCCGTTCGCACGGCACTTACACGCTTTGATGGCACTGATGAGTATAATTCCTATGTGCATCAGTGCCATTTAGGGATTTTAGTGCAATGCAAACCAAAGGCATCCTGAGACATGGTGTCACCCAGAGCAGCCGCCAAAGTGACACCCCGCCGGAACTTCATCACATATGTGCGTGACGTCATCGCACATGAGACGCAACTGTCGGGCTCTGCGACCATGACCCAGTGTACGACTTTTCAGAGGGGTGACACCAAAATGACTGTTAGTTGTTTTGGTGACACCCCCTCCAATTGTGTCACCCGGTGTGGGCCGCAGTGACGCCACCGGTGCAAACAGCATCTGCCCGATTATACGCTGGGCAGAAGTTTTGTATATAATGTCCTTAGGCCCCATTCACACCTGAGCATTTTGTGTACACATGTCAAACTCGCAAAAAAGTGCGCTGTGGCGCTCGTACGCGAAACATGTAAAGAACACAAAACGTGCTTGCTGTGCCATTTACTGGCACCCCAAACGCGGCCGGGCAAACGTGCATTTTTTTCCTCCGTGTTTGCACGCATTAAAATGTGTACAAATGCACAGAAAAAAAATGTGAAACGCATGTCGCAGATTTTGCTACATGCACTACTTTTCTGCATTTGTCGTGTGTTCCGAACCCCACTGAAATCAATGGGGACACGCAGCAAACACGGGGAAAAAAACGTGCACAAATACTCAGGTGTGAATGGGGCCCTAGTGTTGTGTTCTGTTGGGCAGGGCCCTCCTTACTATAGTGTTTTGAATTGTATTGTAATTGTAATGTCTTTTCTATGTAGTAAAGAGCTGCGCAAACTGTTGGCGTTATATAAATCCTGTATAATAATAATTATTATAATTTTACAGTCATTTTAAAATGTTTATTTTACTTTTTTCACCGTCTGTTCTGTTTCTGTAAAAGAAAATCTCAGAATTATAAGGCTAATGGGTAGCTACTTTTTGGCACAAACAAAGGTTCAAGACAGCTGAAAGAAGCTTCTGTAACCCTCAAGAGCCATTTGAATCCTATTGCACCCATAAAAAAAAACACCTTCATTTTGCCCGCAATGACTCCAATGCATTTTGCCAAAATAGCAAAATGTAGCCGTCATCTCAGAAATGTTGAAAATCTTAATTTCGTTGCTATCGATGCCTTTCACCGCTTCCAAACACCTTTATTTAATTTTATAATAAAAGAGAAATAATAAAGAGGTAATTGGTTTTGCATGATGGGCTGTCCCTGCAAAGTTGGAAGAGTTGGGAGTTTTCTGCCCGCTATGGATTGCTGTACGTTACATAGTTGCACTTACATAACTGAGTGATCCTTCATCATGTAGTCAGAGATATGTTCGTGTTTATTAGGATGTGCATTCTGCTTCCCTCTGCTGGCTCTGCAGCATCATTGCTGCTTCTGTCCCCTTGTCTCCTGCACAGCAGGGAAGGGGTTAATGTTCCTTGGCTAGAGAATCGGCTAAGTCCAAGCCTCTGATTGTCCCCTTTAAGTCCATCTCAGGTTTCTCAGGGAACTTCCTGAGTGACAGATGACATCACCGGAGGTGTGACTGACTGATGATGTGGAGCTGGTTTTGCTGGTGGAGCAAAGAGAGGAATTTCTGCAGCACAAGGCTGCGAGTGTTCTCCTCCTATCCTAAGTTCATGTCATAAAGGGGATGTCTGTGGCAGAGATACAGGCAAAGTACAAGGCAAGGAAAAGTGCGCTGACAAGAAGAGGACGCACCAAAATCACAGGACTTCACACGCATGCAGAGAGGTTGCATGTAGCGGGCTCCCTAAGGGGTGTGGAAAGCTGAATTTGAATTGAACCTGCGACAAGCTGGAACTCAAACGATGCCCACATGGAAATCACACAACCACGTCTTCTCCTCTTGCTGTCTGTGAATGAGGAAGCTGACTGCTCTCGATGTCTTGAGGTTGACCTCTTTTTCGGCTGCTCCGCTGGTGAGTTCCAGTTCGCCCTAACCGGAGGAAATTTTCAGGCAGTACAACAATATAATGCACACTTAAGACAGGCAGCCCCATAGAGTGGCTTGTAACAAGTGTCAGGACTTGCATGCTGATTAGACTTGTTGAACTGATTCGCATTCCAATTGCTTTTGTCTGTTTTTGTTTTTTTCCTTCATTTCAGCCTGCTGAACAAAAAAAAAAAAAGCAAAGGAATGGACTCTATTGACTTTTTTTTGCATTGCTGAACACAGAGGTGTGCAGCATTTATGGGCACCATTGACCTCTGTAACTGGGCACCAGTGGTAGACCTACGGCGTGTAATTTTTAGGCAGGGGACTTTGTTCATGTTGCTTTGCATAAGCAAGGATGAAAGTGGAAAGTTTGTTGTCTTTCCCCAAACTGCGAGGATGGAGACTTTGTCGGAGGGGACGCTGGAGGGCTCTTAAGTCACAGATTCTTGCAGCCAGTCTGACCTGCATGGTACTTTTTGTATACGCATGTACACAGGATTTATTACAAAGCCCAGTGCATTTTTCATTGCTGTGGGGAACTTCTCAACCGAGACAGGTGACTCTCCTAATCTGGTACGAACCGTTTGGCAAACGGAGGCGGCTTGGAGACTGCCACGTCCTTTTCAACATAACCGGTTGTCACCTAACCACTAACAGGAGCCTTGCCCAAGAGGCTGACTCCATCTTGTTCCATCACCGGGACATTGGAGACTTTGCTGAATTTCCTTTTGAAAAACGGCCACCTTCCCAGAAATGGATCTGGATGAACTTTGAATCCCCGTCACATTCCCCTTGGTTGTCCTCCTTAAGGGGAGTATTCAACTGGACCATGTCCTACAGGGTAGACTCGGATGTATTTGTTCCATACGGCTATTTATTTTCCAGAAAACGCTCGAAAATAATACTCCCACGCAAGAAAAAAATGGTGGCATGGGTTATAAGCAACTGGAACGAGGACCATGAAAGAATTCAGTATTACAACCAGCTGAGGGAGTACATCGATATCGATATCTATGGGCGGTACGGGATGGATTTGAAGCAGGATAACATTGTGAAAACCGTGTCGGAATATAAATTTTACCTCGCCTTCGAGAATTCGCTGCACACAGATTATATCACGGAAAAATTATGGCGGAATGCCTTCAAGTCTAGTGCAGTCCCTATTGTTATGGGCCCCAGTCGGTACAACTACGAGATGTTCATCCCTCGGAACTCCTTCATCCACGTGGATGACTTCTCAAGTCCCCGGAAGCTGGGCATGTACTTGAAATTCTTGGATAAAAACATGCACATGTACCGCAGGTATTTCACGTGGAAGAAAAGGTACGACGTTCACGTGACGTCATTTTGGGACGAGCACTACTGCACAGCCTGCGAAACGGTGAAGGCGGCCGGAAGTCAGCATCGGACGGCCACAGATCTTGCAGGGTGGTTTGAAAGCTGACAATAGTTCCTTGTTTTGGGTCATAAGAAAACATAAAGCGACACTAAATCTTAAAAACGCATTCAAGTACCTCCAACTATTAACAAAAATGTATCTTATTTGTTTATCACTCGGCTGTAGATCCTCAAATCCTCTCTGAATTGGTGCTGACACTGTCCTTCCTTCTGGAGGGTGGCTACTTTTGTTCCTCATGGTCCCTGTGTGTGTTGTAAAGTAGTCACCACTCCAAGCTCACTCCCGTGATGGACTACAAACTCAATACAAATGAGTAAACTAAACGTGAGATTGTAGTCCATCATGGGAGTGACCTTGAAGCGGTGACTACTTTACAACCCACACAGGGACCATGCGGAACAAAAGTAGCCCCCCTCCAGAAGGAAGGACAGTGTCAGCACCAATTCAGAGATGATTTGAGGATCTACAGCCGAGTGATACACAAATAAGATACATTTTTGTTAGTAGTTAAGGTACTTGAATGTATTTTTAAGATATAACTCCTGAGTTTAGTGTCACTTTAAGCAGTACTATGGCATAGGCTGCATTGTTTCATAAAATCACCGTCATCAGATTTAAAGCTCTGCTGCAACGCACGGGAGAACGTAATCTAAAGCACTCGGATTTGATAAAAAGACCGAACTTACAAGCAAGATGCAGTTCTCTAGCCCAACACGTCTCTTGACATTTTTTGCACAGTGGACCCATTATGCTTGAATAATATTTTTTTTTCTCTTTGGTGGGGACGGGGAAAACTGTTAAAGTAATTTAATGTTTTCATGTTGAGTAATGCATTTTGTTTTTCTATTTATACATGTGTAATTTATAATGGATGTGTTTCTAACTTAAGATTTTTCAAAGTAAGTTATTTTGTGGCTAAAATGTTGTTGTTTTTTTTCCCAATGAATGAACATACCATAAAGGAAAAGGACTATTAATGGTTGTGATATTGTAGCAAATTACTTGAAAGCTTTGGAGGACCTCTATGCATAAATGACATAATTTTCATCACGCGTTTTAGGTAAAAGAGATTTTAATGGGAGTTGCGGACACGAGTAGACATTTCATAAAAGATTGATTCTTATAAAATCTAGTTGGGGTGTGTTGAGGATATTTCCCAGCTATCTGCAGACTGCTCGGTGTTGTTTTGCTGCCGCATTTTGTACATTACGGCAGCCAATCCAGAGTAACAGGCTACAGAATAAAGATATATAAAATATCTCAACTTCTATACAGGTGTAGAGGCTTCCACACACAGAGCTGTGAATTTTATCTGTAGTTATTAATATAATGGGGGGAATTTATCAAAACTGGAGAAGACAGACTCTGGAGCAGTTGCCCATAACAACCAATCAGCTTCTATCTTTGATTTTCAAATCTTAACTGAACAAACTGAAAAGAAAAGCTGATTGGTTGTCATGGGCAACTCCTCCAGAATCTGTCTGCTCCCGTTTTTAGATAAATTTCCCCCATTGTATTTTTTTTTTTAGTATTTGGCATAGGGGCCCCAAGGTGCAGCCGGGAATGCGTGTTCCCGCACTTTTGCAGTATTTGTATCCCACGTTTGCCGTGGATCGCCATTGATCCCAGTTGGGTCCCCGGACACGCGCCAGCCGCGGAAAGGAAGTTAGTGTCACAAATTAAGCAAAATGCATTCCACATTTTCCACACGCGTCCATGCACCGCGTTTGCTCGGCTGCACTTGGGGTGCCATTACCTGAATTTGTGCACGTTTGACACGTGATCACGATACGCCTTGGTGTGAACGGGGTATACAGAGTTTGTTTTGCTTATTCAGTTCTCTGTAGACTGCAGCTAGCCTGACCACCTACTTCGTGTTCAAAATCTTTACGAAGCTCATCCATGCCAAAGACATGATGGGTGTCACTTGTGGTCCATGCGGGTTGTCCATTTGGCTATGCAGAAGTTTGCAGGTGCCAATGTTCCGCACAAAGCTTAGCAAATATTGTTGGTGTGTGTGTGTATGTGGTAAACAATGGGTCTTCACAGTAAACCTGAACCATTTTTTGACCACAGTACGCCTTTTTAAAGCTGAACTCCAAGCACAAAAACCTTCAATAAAATATGTTCCTCAAATGATATAAATGTGTGCATCAAATGCCTCTGTGAACCAGGTTATCACCTTGCAAAAGTAGCAGTGGCATTATCACTGTGCTGTACATTGCCTGTGCAGAAAGTAGAGCTTTGGGAGGGACCCAGCAGGCTCCACCCACTACAGAATGCCTGCAGAAAACTACAGGAGAAGGCGGGTACAAGACCAGTTACCCTGCACAAGGAGACAGAGCAGCAGTGACTGGTCTTTATTACAGGAAGCTCCTGCACAGAGACAAATGTTTACACCGGATGACTGCACAGATCTGGAAGAAATATGCAAAGCTCACCAAGATTCAAGGAAGAATACACCACTCGTGTTTAGAGAATATTTTCTTTAAAGGACAAGTATTGGGAGACTAAAATGTTCTTTTCCCAATACTTACAGCCGGTGTGGAACACTGGAGGTGTCACATGCTGGCTCTATAGATCGAGAGCTGAGCGATCACAAACCTCTGATCACTTAGTTCACAGTCTTCTCCCTGCAATAAGACTGCCAGTTACCGCTCCCTGCAGGGATTTCTCTCTCTCTCCCCCCCTCCCTCTCTTCCTCCAGCACTCATTGGAGGGACAGACAGGGGAGGGGGTGGGCACAGTTGACTCTGGCTCTAGAGAGGCAGAGCCAGCTGTCAATCAGGCAGAGGGGTGGATCCTGACAATATTGTTGTGATCTTTCCCAGCTGCATCTTGGCTCTGCCCTGTCAGCAAATAGCGGATAATAGCCTGCTATATGCTGAGTTTGGGTCACAGGAGGACATTAGTAAATGCAAAGCTAATGTTCACTTAGCTTAGTAAAAGGTGAGGCTGTGTTGATTTTGAATCCTATGCAAGGGCAATTTTTTTTTGCTTGCTCCTTATGGAATGATGGAAGGGAACACAGCTTCACCTCATTCACTAAAATCTCAGTGAGCATTCACTTTACAAAGTGAACATGCTCCATGTGTTTAGTAAATCATACTCACGCCCTTGGATGCTCCCCTGCGTCCCATGCAAGGCAACACAGCCTTATTGGTGCAAGGACAGACTGATAGCTTACAGCAGAAAATTGTGGGTTGGTTTGCTATAGGGGCCGTGGCTGTTCAAATAAAAAATTCAGTGTTTAGTTAGCTTAGTAAATAAGGTGAAGCTGTGCTCACTGTGACTACTCAGTTATGTACAGGATGGGTTAAAAAAACAGTATATTTGCAATTGATTGAAGTGAATACAGCTTCACCTCACTTACTATGCTATATCCGATGCTGTAAAGTCAACTCTGTAAATGAACTATTTCTGAATTTCAACTCTGTAAATGAATATAAGTTTTACTTAATTGGTTTATTACGACACATGCACTTTGTATGCAGCCATAATGGTGCCAAGAATGTGTCTCATAATTCATATTCTGTATTGCCTGGGGAAGGAGACGGCGATCTACAGTAGAAGATCATTGCATTCTATGTTAAAGGGAAAATGTATTTTCAGTGAGCACGTATAGTTGTTTCATAGCAGTGCATATGGCTGCTTAAAGGGGAACACCAGAAATTATCTCTAAAGGGTATCTATTGTCAAAAAATAAACAAGTTTGTATTTCTATATTGAAAGTTCTATCTCACGCCTAATAACCATATCCATCTAGAATAGAGAAAAGGGTAGGAGATGATAGGGTTTCTGGAGGGGTGTAAATGACCATCCAAGAGAGATTTGCTAAAAATATGTCAGATTTTATTTTTGTAGCTTAAGTAGTATTATTAAAAGATACAATGAATTACATGTGTATCAAAACCCTGCATGAGCTTTGTTTGTACAATTATTGATAGGGTATATGCATGATTATAAATCTAGGTATTCAGAATTAACATGATGTTAGTCACATAATCAACGACCACATGATTACCCCTATATATAGTAATTGGCTTCACTTTGTATAAACATTATTTGGATATAGACAAGATCATAAATTCAAGTATTCAATTTGACATGATAATAATCACACAGTCAATGACAAAGTGGACAACAACATGATTGCCCCTAAAGTGGCTTAGCTTGGTAGGTCCCGACGCGTTTCGCCAGTGGCTTCATCAGGGGACCCACACAAGATGGATCATGCAGGGCTAGTTTGTGAGGTAAGAGAGACACCTGGAGGATTGAGAAGGCGGAAGCCAGAAGGCCCCAACAAAGCCTCCACGATCTCCTTTTCAGTCACACCCGGGACCTCAGGGCTACACGGAGAGAAACGGCACCCAGCCGTCCAGCCAATCACACCGGGAGGCGTTAATACCGTTGATGTATGTTGGGGATAAGGCCCGGTTGGATAATGGTCTAATCCTATTAGGTCTCCCTGGTGGTGTGAGGCTAGCTGCTTGCCTCCAAGGTGATCTCCTCTGGAAGCTTGTAAACTTACTTATTGAAGATGCTCATAGGATGTACTTCCTAAATGCACTGACACCATTTCACTCAGCCCTGTGAATATGCACTCCCTTGTGTCAGCACTCTCACAGAGCCTGCCTTCGGAACTACAACTCAATGTCTGAACAATGTAACATTATCACTGCTTGCTGGAAGCAATGCATGATGGCCTATGTAGTCTTGAGAAATGGAGATTGCATCACATCAAGCAGCAGGGAAAGATACACAAAGCGCACTGGAAATCCAGGAAAATGGTGAAAGTGATGGGCAGGTGGAAGGCAGCACTCACTACATAGAAGGGATTTAGGCTTTGATTGTATTATCAGAAACAACTCTGGTATGTTTTCCTATGACAATGCTGATGTTATAACAGGAGAGGATATACTGGGACTTTACAACTCCTTTAATAGAAACTTACATTGGTCCAGCTTGGCTTGAAGTATCCACAGCTGATATCTGGAGGGATGCTGAAAATCACTGTAGTAATCCACACTACATACAGTGATAGAAACACAAAGCACACAGCTCACCCCTATAAT